TCTGGCTTGGTTGGTTTGTATTTGAGAAGCACACTCTCGGGTGAGTTGTTTACCATCTCTAGAGATTGGCTAACCCCGGGATCCCTCCTGGATCAGCAAGGTCCCAGATGTGAAAGCATCAGAAAACAGATGATAAAAGACATGGTTAATACGGATATGTAATCAACGCATAAACAGTTCTTGAATGCCTCCCATGCCCAAACACTAATCTATATGCATCAGTTAATAGAAAATACTAATAATAACAACAAAACCAGCATATTCTTATAGAGCCCTCACCATGTGCCAGGCATTCCACGTGCTTTACAAGAATTCACTGATTTAATTCCTATAACAACCCTCTAAGTAAGTACTTTTATCATCTTCAGTTTTACAGATGAGGAAACTGAGGCTCAGAGAGGTGAAGCGACTTGCTGACGGTCACACAATTAGTAAGAATTGAAGCGGGGATTCGAACCCAGGAGTTTGGAATCTGTGCTTTAACTGCTACGTAGTGCTGTGTATGATATGGTTCCTGCCGTCAAGGATGAAGAGCTGCTTCAAAGCATAAGATAGAAATATTTGAAGGGACAAGCAGAAGTGAAGAGCAGAGCATATTTAATCTCGAATGAGTGGGATGGTCCAGTGCTCTCTCAAAGGGGAGTTGTGCGCAACCCAGGGGTGGGTGAGACAAACCAGGAGGGGACAGGAAGAAAAGACTGGAACTTCTATTTATATTTATAGTACTGGTTCATTGAATAGCTTGTACTCCCTGCATCAGCTCCTCATCGTGAGAGAAAACCAAGGACGGTACAGTCAGATCTGGTGGGACACAGTCAAGAACCATAGAATTATCAAGTTCACAGGATGAAATATGGATTGACATCTATTGTCATTAGCTAGTATCTCAAGAGATGGTAGACTCTGAGACTAATTTTGTCACTGACATTTCCTGTTGTTAATGACAGTGGAACATTCATTGACTCAGTGGGAGTGGTGAAGCTAATGGATACTGGGAGTGAATATGGGTCGAGCGCCTCCCATGCTCCTGGGTCCTGGGGGTACAGCAGCGGACATCACCTACAAGAACCTCTGCTATTATCTGGCTCAAGTTCTATTTGGAGGGACAGGCGATAAACAAGGTGACAAAGGAAATATATAGTGTGTTAGGCGGTGATATGCACTAAGGGGAAAAATAAAGCAGAGAAAGGGTGGGAAGAATTGGGGAAAGAGTTTTAAATTTTTAGATAGGGTGGCCAAGTAAGGCCTCAGTGAGAAAGAACTGTTTGAATAACTACCTGGAGGCAGTAAGGGAATGAACCATGTGGCTATCTGGGGGAGGAGCATTACACACACACCCACCCACACACACACACAGCAAGTGCTAACTCCCTAAGGTGAAAGAGTGAGGAGGTCGTCATGCCTGGAGCTCAGTGAACAAGGAGATGGATAAGAGATGAAGCAGAGAGACAATAGTGGGTGGTGCAAATGTGGAGACGGGTCCTTGCAGCAACGTAAAAGGACTTTGGCTTTTGCTGTGAGTTGAGATGAGAAGCCACTGGAGGGTGTGAGCAACGAAGTGTGACATGATCTGGCTCACGTTTCTAGTGGCTCATTAAGGCTGCCGTGTTGACAATACATTGTAGGGAAGTAAGGGCAGAAGCAGGGCTACCAGGTGAAAGGCCCAGAGCCGTTTACCAGATGAGTGATGCTGGTGGCTTGGACCAGGGTAGAGATATGGAGAAGGAACTGCATACTGGGTATGATTTGATGGTAGAACCAGCAGGATTTACTGATATATTAGATGCGAGCTGTGAGAGAGAGAGAGAGACTAGTGGTCCATATACATTATTTATACAGAAATGTGCACACACTCTGGGTAAAGGTTTAAACCTTTTACTAATAGGGATGATTGATAAAAAAGTGTGGAGGCCACTGGAACAGACAATATATAGTCTACAGGGATTCTGAGGAGAGAGACCACCCAGGGGAGGCCGATCAGTGCTGGACTTGGTTAGGTCTTGAAGAATGAGTAGGATTCAGGGAGATGGAAAGGCCCAGAAGGGCACCGGGGGATCCACGAACGAAGGGAGGAGACTCTGCCCAGGGCTGTTCTGAACCTCTATCTGCATGGAGCCCTGAGTTCAGGCAGTAGGTTTGAAGATTGAAACGGCAGCAGGGGGCCAGCTTGTCCCACTCTTTTTTTTTTTATTTTTTTTTTAAAGATTTTATTTTTTCCTTTTTCTCCCCAAAGCCCCCTGGTACATAGTTGTGTATTCTTCGTTGTGGGTTCTTCCAGTTGTGGCATGTGGGACGCTGCCTCAGCGTGGTCTGATGAGCAGTGCCGTGTCCGCGCCCAGGATTCGAACCAAGGAAACACTGGGCCGCCTGCAGCGGAGCGCGCAAACTTCACCACTCGGCCACGGGGCCAGCCCCCAGCTTGTCCCACTCTTGAACTCCAGGTGGAACAGTTTAGACTGTTTCCTTTAGGCAGTTGGGAGGACTGGGAATTTTTGACCTGGAGAGTGAGTTGGTAGAGCTTTAGCTCAACAATTTTTTCCTCTAATAAGCTCTGAATGAGTGCAACTGATTAATCAATTAATAAATGTTAACTCAGTGGCCAGAATGTTTTATTTACTAAATGGGATCACGTCAGTGAGTTTTATATATATATAAATATATATATAGTGTAGTGATTGTACTATACTATATCGTATAGCATGTAGTATAGTTATATAGATATACATATATATGTATACATATTTCTGTTAATGAGAATGATTCCGTTGGACTTAAAAGTGTTTGTTATACCGTAAAAATAATTTTTCTGATTACATAGCTGAATTTTAAAAAGCTTGCTCTATATTTCATGAAGTAGTTAAGGTTTCTTGGTGAATGTTATTTAATTGGTTTCCCATTCTCTAGATAATTGCATGGTCTTGCCGGTACACATCCTGCACGTTGCTTCTTGGCACTCTGAGATGCTGCGCTCAAGTGCCCCAGGCATAAACAGTATGGCGGAAATACCCTTTTCCCTGTCTGTGTTTGTAAGACAGTCTCTTTCATGCCAGAAGAACTATTTTGGGAAGATGATTCATGTCACATTTTGGCCTCATTACAGTTTTAAGTTGTAACTGGTGCTCGTTGGCCTGGAGGTGTAAACATAAATTTTATACTTCGTATGTGTATGGGAATACCTGGAACTGAAAAATACTTCTATTTTGGAGTTCCATTTTAGTCTACAAACAGAGAGGTTAACCAGATATTTATCAAAATTCTAATTTTGTCTTATTAAAAGCATACTTCCAAAAGAATATCAATTACTTGTGGCTATGCCTCCATTCTCCATGGAGAAGTCAGAGAACCTAGTGTCTTATTGTTACAAGCAGATGATTCTGTAAAATAAATAAACACTGTGCTTTTTCTTTTTGAAATAGTGTGAAAAATGAGAGCAGGTGTTAAATTACTGTCTGTAGTTATAAGGAACAGGAGATACAAAATTATTCAAAGTTTATTTAGCTGTAGATGAAAAAGTAAGGTGAAGCTATTCTGATTAGTCCAATTTGCCTTCTGGTAAACATAGTGCTACTTATAGGATACAACAAACCGCTTATTTATTCAGTGGTTAAAATGCATGATGGCAATAGAAATGAGAGACATGGACCACCTGAGTTTATTATTGTGCCTTGCACACAGGAGTATCTTAAAAGTGTTTATCGGGGCCAGCCCAGTGGCGCAGTGGTTAAGTTCGAAGGTTCCGATTCTTGGTGACCCTGGGTTCACCGATTCGGATCCCAGGTGTGGACATGGCACTGCTTGGCAAAAGCCATGCTGTGGTAGGCGTCCCATATGTAAAGTAGAGGAAGATGGGCACAGATGTTAGCTCAGGGCCAGTCTTCCTCAGCAAAAACAGGAGGATTGGCAGCAGTTAGCTCCGGGCTAATCGTCCTCAAAAAAAAAAAAAAGTGTTTATTGATTTGTCCCCAAATAAATGAGTTTTAACAAGAAGAAAAATGGGTTTGGGGTATGGCTAGATTTTTCTATGGCTCTCAAGGAATTTCACATCCTACCTCAAAATTTAAAAATTGGCAAAATATTATTTATTTTAAAAACTTAAATCGCAGCAATGACAACAATATAAAGGAATGACAGTGAATTTGTTGTTGTTTTTTGCTACAAGCCCATTTTTATGGCCAAATGTTTTTGGGTAGAATGACAACCTTTCTGATCTACTGACAGTAAGAACCCCTCCGCCCACCTTGGACATGTGCTTTCAAAAGTTTTTTAATTCAGCTGTGGGTTGTTCTTTCCATTTGGGCCTTCTCGCTATATCATCTAAAGAGATTTATTAATCTTTGAGTAAGATTCCTCAATTAACAATAAACCAAAGGTGTTGTGAGATGTGCTTTCAAAAGTTTTTTAATTCAGCTGTGGGTTGTTCTTTCCATTTGGGCCTTCTCGCTATGTCATCTAAAGAGATTTATTAATCTTTGAGTAAGATTCCTCAATTAACAATAAACCAAAGGCGTTGTGAGATCTTCTTTGATTCTAAAATGGTGATTTGACAAATATCAGTGATTTGAGGGTGCTTAAGCAGGTTTGCCAGTTCAACCGAATCCGGCTTCATGGCAAAACTGGCCTTGAGTTCCCTCAACCTGTTAGAATCTTCCAGCTGTGACAAGTGACATCTACTTTTTTTCCCCTTATCTTGAGTCTACCTTTTGTTTTCTCTTGGTTGTCCAGCGACCGCCTCATTAACTAGCCCAGGTCTGTGCTTTCAGAAGCAACCGAAACGTTCTCCAGATGATTCTGCTGTTCTAGGAGTGCTACAGGCAACAATTAAACAAAGGACGTGGTTTGAAACCCAAATGTCAACATAGACGCAGTCTCTAAAGTGCTCTGGTTTTGGAAGTTGTTCACTGGACCTGACTGTGACATATGCCTGGTAGGACTGGAATTAGACAACTACTGAAACAAATAACACGTTGCTGGATTTCACATTTCCCCTTCTGTCTTCCCAGCCATCATGTACGTCATGGGAGCACTTGGTCCTGCTGTGGGATATTTATTAGGTGGACTTCTTATTGGTTTTTATGTTGATCCCAGAAATCCTGTTCACCTTGACCAGAATGACCCTCGTTTCATTGGAAACTGGTAAGAATTGTTTACTAAATCTTTCATTTGTTGTTAATGATAGTTAGAGTTCTAGTACTCTTGCAGTTAAAATAAAAATTTCCCCAATGGAAGAGGAAAAATAGCTAAATGTCACATAGGAGGTGGGGTAGGCAGAATAATAATTTCCCCCAAATATCCATATCCTAATCCCCAGAAAGTCTGAATGTGTTACCTTTACATGACAAAAGGGACCTCGCAGATGTGATCAAATTAAGGATCTTGAGATGGGGCGATCCCCTGGCTGACCTGGGTGGGCCCAATATAATCACAATGGTCCTTATAAGGGACAGAGGGAGGCAGGAGGGTCAGAGAAAGAGAAGAAGGTGTGATGATTGTAGCAGAGGTTGGAGCGATGGGCTTTGAAGATGGAGGAAGGGCCCAGGAGCCAAGGAGCGCAGGTGGGCTCCAGAAGCTAGGGAAGGCAAGGAAATGGGTTCTTCACTAGAACCTCCAGAAGGAATGCAGCCCTGCTGACCTCATTTTGACTTCTGACCTCTGGAACTATAACGATAATATGTTTGTATTGTTTTAAGCCACGAAGTGTGTGGCAATTTGTTACAGCAGCAATGGGAAGCTAATACAGAGGGCTTGGGAACCTCAGCTTAATCCACGTTCTTTAGGACTCAGGCATTTGTTTCCTGTAAAGCATGGGGGGGAAGGGCGAATGTGGCTGTGTCGGGACTTTCCTGTGTACTTGAATCATAGCTTGCTTTGTATTTTCTGTGCGTTTAAAAATTTTTTTTTCCACTTCCTTATATTTGTGTTTCTGCTTTGTCAACCCTCCCCCACTGCCCAGGACTCTCGCTCTGCTTTCCCACCGTCACGCTCTTGGTGAATCTTCTCACTCGTTAGTAGTTTCTTTCCCCAAGTGTGCTGGGCAGTTAGCTGCTCTCGTCCTTGCTGGCCCTTAACTGTCTTGCTCAGTAAGTGATGTTTAGGACTTAGGTTGAGAACTCCAGGTTTGGCTGTTAGGTTGTTTATCCAGATATCCAGGGCTGTGTTTGAATTCTCCGTAGTCCTCAGCTTGAACATAAGAAGTGCTTTCTTCATGACTGCAAGCACTAACTGAAAGTATGGCATCTCAAATTCATTTAACGTGGATTAGTAATAGGTATACATTTCAAGAAATTTTCACTTTATAACAAAGAATATTTCGTTATTAGAAATTAATGGCAAGTAATTACTTTCTAAAGAGTTTCTTAGAGTACTCGTGTTCTCTCTGTGTTTCGTTATAACAGCCTCATAACTCTGAGGTCCATGCAAATAATTTTTAACACTGTATTTTCACAGCAGTTAACAAATATTGATTAAGTTATATAATACTTCTTATTTTCATAAGTGAGGCTCTTTGGAGATGGAAGTGCTAAGACCTGGATGATCCTGGCCTGGGAGAATTTTCAACTCATGCAAAAGGAAGTTCCCGTGTTAACCATAGGGGAATTACACGGGAGTTTTCAGCTCTTGACCAGGAGTGAAATTTTTGGTCTCAACTACTGTTTTCTTTGCAGTTCTGAAATAAATCAGAGTAAGGACTTTTTTTTTTTTTATTCTCAGAAAACTAGATTATTAAGATATATCTAGGCACATCCAATGTACATTCTGTGTTCTGTGTAGAAGTCCATGAGAAGAGCGTGGCAAGAGAGGACCTCTGAGGGGAGAGAGAATGGTGAGGAGGACCAGCTCAGGGCCAGGAACAAGGCAGGAGGCAGGAGCTTTAGGTTTCCTAGGAGACAGCAATCCAGTGGGTAGCAAAGTGGAGTGATTGAGTGCAGACCCTGAAGCAGAATCCCCTGGGTTTAAATCTCAATCTGCCGCCTGATAGCTGTGTGACCTTGGGGAAGTTACTTAATTTCTCTGTGCCTCAGTTCTTGTTGTTGTTCGGTTTTTTTTAACCCATAAAATGGAAGTAGTTCAGTACTTAATTCATAGGGTTGTTGTGAGGAATAAATGAGTTTATATATGTGGAGCTCTAGATAGTTCTTGCTACACAGTATGTGTTAGCCGTGATTCAGTCCTTTGCATTTAACCAATGTTCAAGTAGTTTTATTCATTTTAATGGCCCAATATTAGTTCTACAAGTGATAAAAGTTGTCCATATAGAAATATATACTAGGAAGCTCTTTAAAAATGAATTTCTCGAGTAGCCCTACTTGTAACAGTTTTCCACCTACAACAAAGACATAGTTATTTGACACCTTGTCATTTTTTAGGATGCCTACCAGTAATGATATGTTTTTCAATAAATCTATGCTGGAGGAGTGAAGGAAGGAACCAATGAATGGTGCTAATGTTTATTGGGTGCTTACTATGTGTCAAGCATTATACTCAGAGCTTTACAAGCATTTTCGTTTATGCCTTATAACCACCAGATGTCATCACTAATATTATGTCCATTTTGCAGATGAGGAAATTGATGCACAGTGATGTGAATAACTTGTCCAAAGTCTCAGAGTCAGTCAGAGCTGGGATAAGAAACTGAGTCCAGGGCAGAGGTCTTAGTCAATATAACTGGCTCCTAGTGAACAGTCTCTGAGTAATGGGTCATTAAAGGGAGTTTGGACTCTGGCTTGGCAATTTTAACTTACTGATGTATCTTTTTCCAACATATTATGCACACTTTCTTGTCTTACTGAGCTTTTCTCAGAGCCGTCTTTAAACCATCATTATATCATATGTTAACATCCATGTTACTGGAAACCCTGGGAGAATATGGGCTGGTTTGCTCTGCTTAGAAATGCCCCCAGACTTTTATATTATTTTTGCTTATTCACTATAATTCTTCCCCTTCTTCTGTTATTTACTCTCACTTGGGGCTACTATGAGTGTATCCTCAATATTTGCGTATAATTTTAAGTCAAAGGCTCTGGGTGGAGGTCAGGGGGCCTGATTGCAGATCTACATAAAAACAAACAAAATTAGCTACCATAATTTGATTACTGATTTGTGCGCAGGCATTTTATTAGGTCCATTATATGCATTGCCAGCCCCGGTGTCTAGTGGGTGAGGTTCAGTGCTCTCACCAGCACGGCCTGGGGTTTGTCTCCTGGTCAGGGAACCACACCACCCATCTGTCCTTGTCATACTGTGGTGGCTGCACGTTGCTGTGATGCTGAAAGCTATGCCACCGGTATTTCAAATACCAGCAGGGTCACCCATGGCGGACAGGTTTCAGCAGAGCTTCCAGACTAGACAGACCAGGAAGGACCTGGCCACCCACTTCTGAAACAATTGGCCATGAAAGCCCTGTGAATAGCAGCAGAGCATCGTCTGATAGAGCGCTGGAAGGGGAGAGGATGGTGCAAAACACCTGGCAGGGTTCCGCTCTGCTGTCCACAGGGCCCTAGGAGTCGGAACAACTCGATGACACTAACGACAACAAATTATATAAATTGTCTTGTTAATTTTGATGACCCTGAAAAACGGTTATTATTACCTCCCTTTCAGATGAGAAAGCCAGCTCAGAAAAGCAAAATAATGTCCCCAAGGTCTGAGAGCTAGGAAGTGGTAAAGACAGGATAAAAACCCAGGTCTGCCTAAAGCTACAGCTTCGCTTCCCTCACACTGTGCGGCCTGCCCTCTTCTGGAGAGAGCAGAGAGCTCCAGGGAATCGAAGGGGTCAGACGACTCGAATGCAGGGTCTGCAGGAGGAGATTGCAGAGAGGCAGAGGAGCAGGGCTGGATCAGGAACCGTCTCATAGAGCCAAGCTCTAAAGGGGCCAGACATTATCATAGCTGTGTTCCCTGTGGACAGGTGACTTGATTTTTTTTTAAAACCTATCTCATTCAATTTATTCAGGCAAATTTTTGAGTACCTAATCTGTGTCAGGCTCTGGGTTTGTGATTACATACTGAATAATTGAGATTTCCAGAGGTCTGCCTTTTTCTGATTGTTGTAAAATCTTTATTTGATGTAACTTTATCTTTGAAAATAGCACACTGGATTATTAATGACCAGTTCTAGGAATAATATTCTCAGCTAAACTGTGACCTTTAGCATCTGATAACAGCATTTTGATAGAAGCATTATTTTTTTTAAATGAATTTCCACTTTGCCGTTGATCTCTATTCTTCCTGGGTTGAATTCAGCGTCAACGCTTAGAATGCTACCTGCATTCCGGTTACAGCTGTTGGGGACGTGTTGGTATAGAGGCCAGAATCTGAGCATTTATGAATTTGGCAGCTTTGAGGACAAAGTTTGGAGTGGAGGACACCCAGTTGGAAAGTGGTGACTGTGTTAGGCAGGACCATGGACCTACCTCTACTTGCTAAGAAAAGGTTGAAAGGGGACTGAAAAATTGTCCGTGGGGAATTAGGCAGGCAAGAAGCCCCAGGCCTTAACACGGGGCAGTAACACAGGTCCCGCTCTCAGTGTTTGCTCCCTCGTCGCTGCAGCATGGCAAACTCAGGTGAGTTTAAAGACAAAAGCTCTGTTCTACATAGGTCAAGTTCTACTTCTCCTAGGAAGCTTTGTGACACACGTTGATTCCCCCTCTGAACTTTTATAGCGTTCACAGTCTATGCCACATGATCTAACGCGTAATTGTCTACAGCCTTGCGTTTCTTGGAACTGTTTCTTGAAATTGTTTGGAATTGTTTCTTCTATTTCTAGCTCGCTTATAATGAGGTTTTAAGTTCTTGAAGGCAAAGATCAAGTCTAAATGTCTGTGTTAACCCTGGGACTTGGTTAAGTATTGTGAAGGCCAGCTAAGAAGGGTCAATACATTCTTAAGCGCTTGCAGAAAAATATTTGAATGCCACCAGCAGTTTTAAATACATTTCACACCAGATGTTAATGGTTTTCTCTTAAGAAAAAGTTGTCCATGTTGGTCCACAAAGCATGCTGTCGTCTATATTATTTTTCTATTAAATTTATGAGCTATTGATTTGTTATAAAATGCACATTGTCATAGGACTAACAGTATTAATTAGCAGAACCAACACAGATGTGCTCAAAAATACTTGAATGAAATTCTAGGCAAGCTCCTATTTATAATGTTCATTCTAATACTGGTATAATTATTGGGTGGATTTCTCATTTATACCACAGAAAGTTGGGACCCCCCTGTTTTCTTAGTTTCTCCAACTTCTACTGCTTTACAATTAATGAAGATAAAAAGTTTTCTCTGGAAAAATTTAACACCACAAACTTCTACCGTGCTAATTTGTTCTCACTCGTAATGCAAAAGCCATCAATGCTATTCACATTTCCCAATTTTTTAGGTGGAGTGGATTCCTCCTTTGTGCCATTGCAATGTTTCTTGTGATATTCCCAATGTTTACTTTTCCAAAAAAGCTTCCGCCTCGACACAAGAAAAGGAAAAAGAAAAAATTTTCTGGTGATGTTGCCAGTGATGATGACGTTATGAAGGAGAAACCAAACAATAGTGAACAAGTGGACAAAAAAGTTTCTTCTATGGGATTTGGCAAGAATGTCAGAGGTAAAGTATATCTTTTGAATAAATACGTGCGTGGTACTTGAGATGAGTGCTACTCAAAGCGTGGTCCCAGGCCAGTGCTGCCTGCCAGCTGTCACTGGTCTGTGACAAGATAAGTACTGAAAGTCAGAGTTGGTGTTGAGAAGCTTTTAAAAAGAAAGTTAATTATGTCTGTTGCAACTAATAACAATAATAATAGATTGGGCTTATATTTTGTATGTTTAAAAAATTCTTTTTCTAATAATTGATCTTTAATGCGTTTTGCAAAAGTAGAGGTACATGATAGACTGATAAAAATAATAAAAAAAAATGGCCTTTCCTTATAAATAGCTTGAGAAGCACTGATGTGGATTCTAAAGATAAAGACATTTATATATGTATGTCATTTACTGTAATTAGAGATGTCTTGTTTTTAACTTACTTCTTGCATTGTATAATGGATGGTTTGTTTCAGAGAAACGGTGGGTTTGGTAGTGTGGCCTGATCCTTACATAAATTTAAACCTACTCTAGAAAGGGACGTCATTCATCAGTGGCCTGGCAAATGCTTGTGAGTTACTACAGAGAAGGGCAGCCCGGAATGGGCCTCCAAACTAGTATAGAGTATCCAGAAAGTTTCAGTGATGTGTACTGCTCATTTTTTCATCTTTAGTTCTCTTAAAAATAATGACTTTATTACAGCTAGATTAGGCAATCTCAAACCTAAACCATTTAAATTAATCTTCACCGGGCAATCTTTGTTCAGTTTTCCATATATCTGTTGAGCGGCAATAAATCCCTTTAACCCAAGAAATCTGTATTACACTCCCACTCGTTTCTGCCTATTTCCTGAATTCCTTGAATTGAGTTTTTTTTTTTTTTAATTATGAAGCATAGTATTTCTCAAGTGCCTACATCAGTCAAGATTGTTTTAGGTAAAATTTACCTCGGCACACCATCCTCTCACTTTGACCATAAACACAGTCCAGCCAAAGAGACACCTTTCAGTCTAGAAGGAAGATGCTAATATTTTATAGCACTCTCCCTGCAGCTTAAGAACAACGGTGGTTAGAGTGGACTGTTTTTGAAGACTATATTTATTCAAAGCAAATGAAGTGACATTTCACTGGAAATGCATCTTCCCAGTTAAGTTTTAGATTTTGCTCTCTCCCCACCCCCCATTATTTTGTGTCAATGTGTACTTTTGGAACTGCCAAAATTACTTCTTCTGCTGTCATAACATAAAGGATTCTCTGCATGCTAACATGGCCTGAGCTCTTACCACGTGGACCGGCCCATCATTTTTCATGGATGTATTATGGACCTTTACGGCTATTACCAAAGGAGTGATTTTTTTTTTTTTTCCAGCTCAGTCGAGAGCAAGGTTGATATTAACGAATTTACAACACAGGAATAGACTTAAAGTCTTAATTTATAGAGAGTATAAAGTAGACTCAAGGGGAGAAATAAAGGCATGGGTAAGCTAAAATTGTGTCTTTTTTAGTTTAGGGGGAGATGGCTTGAATGTGAAATATATGCTCCTGTTGGATAGTAGAGAAAAGAGAGAGGGAAGATTAATATCAGATACCAGCAGTGGACGCAACTGTTAATGGGAGCGGAGTTGTTTTGGAGGATGCAGGGTAGATAATGCTATCGATGCCCCATCCGTACTCTGGGACCTTACCGTCTTCCTGGTGGAGGCCTGCCAATGGCCACGGCCTATATCATTTGCCTGAAAGTGTTCTTCGTAGAGTGGGAAACTGCTTGGCTTCTGCTTGAGGCAGGGTTCAAGTGCCAAGGAATTGACACCCTGGCCTCCCACCCCCACAAAGCAGTCTTAACCAATCACTGATAAACACTTCAGCTCCCTCACCTCAAGGGAGAGACAACTCTGAGGCTGTCGCCTCTTCCCGTGCATCGTGTCCACACTCCCCATCCAGCGCTTCTGGAACCTCCCAAATAAACTGCTTGGACTTGAATCCTTGTCTCAGAACTGGCTTCCGAGGGGGTGCGCACTGAGGCACGCAGGTTCAAAAGTGATAAAAGCCGTCCCTGAATTTGAAAATTATTTTTCAAAATTGAATCTACAGACTATTTTATTGGATATCTTCTTATACTGCTAGCGATTGATCTTCTCTATCTTTTCTATGCTCAATCTGATGGGTTAGAATCTTTTCTTTTAAAGGAAAGAATAAAAGTCTTTTAACAGTGATGGGTAATTGGTTCATAAAATCTGTTTCCATTCTGATTTTCTTGTCAATATTTCTGATAAATTCTCAACTTTTTCATCCTATGTCTTGATTACGATGACTGATCTCATTTCTGTGGTGAAACCTCCTGATTAGGACACAGAGCTGGTTCATTTGATTATTTCCACTTGTACTGGTTTCTCTGCATCTAGCTTGGTACTTTGAGAGACACTTTCTCCTGTTAGAAAGGAATCCTGTTTTGATGGGATTATAAAGTGAAAATGTTTTGCTCAAAATGATTCAAATGATGTTGATGATATTGGGATAATGTTCAACTAGAATATTTAAAATTCATATTTATCTTGTACGTGTTGATTTCCTTTAGCGTATTGAATACCTATCACTTATAGGAACTGACCATCTAATATTTAATCTGGTTTTCGAAAGGACAAATTAAATCTCTGGGAATCATTCCACTGTTGACATAATTTGCATTACAAAGCTGAGATTCAGTATTAAGATCTTGAATTAAAGAATGGTTGCTAAGATTTCATTTTGAATTAAATCTGAATTTGACTCCCAGATTCCTTTTCCCTTGTCCTGGTTTTTTGGAGCAGGGCTCCTTTTAGTCTTTTTTTTTTGAAATTTGGGTACCAATATCAGCTTCTTCACAGAGGAGGTGGAAAGATAGCTAAATTAGTAACTTATACTTCCTTAAAAAGAAAATGATTTTGGCCACACAGGATGGTGCCCTTTGGGAAATTCTATTGCAGAGAATACTAGAAGAAAATGTACCATACTTTCTACTGTCTGCCTCAACATTTCAATGATAGACGTTGCGGAAATCTGACTCAGTGTTTCTAGAGTCTTATTATAAATTATGCAGGAATAAGACTGTTTTAAAACACCACAAAGGAGAAAGTAGAATTTTAGTGTGTCTGCTTCACCTTTCCACAAAGAGCTTAGCATTGATTGCATCAAAATCTTACCAAAAAAAATAAACACTTAAAATATTTAAGTGGATCAATTTTCCTGAGGTTTGAGGTCCGGCATTTTTAAATCTTCCAAATTTAACTGGGTATCTTCCCTAATAGAAAACATTTGGTGGCAGTTAATCATAAGAAAAATTTTATTTTTCTGTCGACTTCTAATCTTTTTTTTTTTTGAGGAAGATAGGTCCTGAGCTGACATCTGTGCCCGTATTCCTCTATTTTATACCTGGGATGCCTGCCACATCATGGCTTGATTACCGGTGTGTAGTTCCGCGCCTGGGATCCGAACTGGCCAACCCTGGGCCGCCCAAGCAGAGCACACGAACTAACCACTGCCCCACCGGGCCAGCCCCCACTTTTAATCTTTTAAGCTTAATTACTTGTCATTACTAATTAGCATAAAATATAACAGATTTTTTTCCGCTAGGTTTTTGTCTGTTAGAATGAAATATGTTTATAACCCTAACTAAATAAAATAGTTACTCTGAGGGGATGAACCGATTTGGAGAGGTCACTGAAAGGTAGAGAATATTGATCAGTCAAGGATTATGTTGTCATCATTTAATTCAATGACTAACTCTACAGAAGCTGCTGTATCCATGATGCAGCAGATACGAAGATGAGTGATCCATGGTTTGCCCACAGAGAGCATATAGTCCACTGAGGGAGACAGGACAAGTACAGATGGAAATAAAATACAGACCATACAGGATGATAGGCACACTGGTGTGAGATTCAAAGGCCAGTGAGGGACCATCTAGTGGAGGGGTCAGGAAAGGTTTCACGGAGGAGGCAGGACTGAGATGAACCTTGGAAGACTGGGAGAATTTCCGGAGGTGGAGCTGAGGTGGTGGGAGTATTCTAGTGAGAGAGAGCAAAGACAAGAAGGTCAGACTGTGTCGATGTATTTGAAAATGCTGAACAAGTGTGTTGTGGTTGTGAGTTGCAGACGTGTGGCAGGAGAGAGATGGGTGGGAAGACAGGGTGGGGCCATATTGTGAGTGGAGAGCTTGAGCTCTAGCTGTCGCTGATTCGTTCCTCGTGGGCGGGGGGAGGTTTGAGCAGACATTTGGCAGCACTCCATTAGGTAGATTAGGGAGGGAAAGGAGTGGAATGGAGGGAGGGGCCCCAGGTAGAAAGCTCTGGACAGAACCCAAGTACGAGGTGATGGTTTTGACTAGCGGAGAAGGAAAGGACAGTAACCCGCTAATCTGGTCTCCCTACTTCTGTCCTTGCTCCCTTTCAGTTGCTTTCAACTCAGCAGCCAGAAGGATCCTGTTAAAATCCCACTCTTCTGCTCAAAGCTTCTATGGTCTCCCCTCTCACTCACAGAAAATGCCCTCTAACCCGTGGTTACCTCTTGGATCCCATCTCCTTCTTGCATTCTGCTTCAACCACATTGGTCTCTTCACTGGTCCTCAAATATACCAGGCATACTCTCACCTCCGGGCCTTTGCACTTGCCATCCCTGTGCTAAGAATGCTCTCCCTCAGATCCCCTCACTTCCTTCAGGATGTCCATCAAATGGTCCCTTTTCGGTGAGGCCTTTCTTGGCCACCCTATTCACAAATCTCCACCCTCCTTTCCAAAGCTTCTTATTTCCTTCCCTCCTCAATTTTTCTCCTTAGCACTCATCCCTATGGAACATTCTATATATTTTACTTATTTATTTTCTCCTCGATGGGAAAGTAAACTCCATGAGGGTAAGAATTTTTTTGTCCATCATGTTCCCTGCTGCATTTACACCACCTAGTAGATACTCAGTAAATGTTTGACGAATGAGTTATTGAATAATGAGGAGGGGAGGAAAAGACTGTGTCTGTAGGATGTGGCATCTGATATGA